ATAAATCAGTTTGTTAATAGAAGAATAATCAAATGAAAACCTATATTACTAAAGAACGGTTATGTGACATGAAACAAAAAAAAATGCTATTTTCAGTTGATAATTATTTTGTTATTTCTGCAAATAACCGCTCCGAATACTTTGAATTAAAAAACAAAAAAACTACTAACTTCGATACTCCAACTAACTCTTCAACTCTTGACCTTAGTTTTTTAAGGCGTATAGTTTCTACAGGATGTCCTGGGACTATTGGAACTATTGGAAAAAAGAAAAGGGAATTGTTAACGAGTGATCTGAGCAAAAATTATCATCATTGCGGATTTTTAATACTAGACTAGTAATTCTCAAGTCTCTTTTTTTTGAACATAAGCAAATTGCATTCTTACGACTTTTTATTGGACCATATATACTGGTGTTCTGGCTAAAATAACTAAATATTGTTTAAAGGAAATAAGCATGAAAAACATAATCTTTCAAGTAATGTTTTTCCTTTCCTCACCTTTGTGAAGACATTGCAATTTGTTTATTTTTTTAACAAAACAAAAAAAAATTAAAAGTGATGGTAAATTTAAACAAGGAAAGATTAAAAAAAAAAAAATTAAAAGTGATGGAAAACAATTTAAGATAGATCGTGGCCAATCAAATCATTTTTAAACAGTTGATAAGCGCGTATTTAAGGTTTAAAATTTCTACCACAAATTTCCAAAATTATAACGCGTCTACTTTCTAGATTTATTACGTAGAAAATATCTTTTTCAATTATTCTTAATTGTTTTAAATAAATACCTTCTTTTCGACCAAATAATAAAGAGTAAGGGTTCTTTACGAATTACAATCTCAAAAGAATTAAACGTTTATTTTATTTGACACGTTTTTATACTACCTGTTTGATATCCAAAAAACGGATAGAATACATTGGAAACAAGTCAAAATCGAGACAACATCTCCATGATCTTGTATTGAGCTCTGTTCAATAAGAATTCAATAATTTTAATTTAAAATTATCAAATTAATTAATTGAATACTTGTTTGTTTTACGCGTATAAAAAATTGATGAAAATTTGAAACTCTCCAAGTTCAAACAACATCAAAAAATGGTAATTTTGATTATAGTAAATTTCATTCTCAAAATGAATTTAACGTTGATAAATTATGAAATCAAATTTCTAGTGGAATAAATTAATCTTTTAATTTTTGGAGTTGACACTTGCCCAAAAATTAAAGCATATCAGCCAAATGCAACTTGAACATGAGAAATTGCAAGTATTAACAATGACGATTACAATTTTTAATTTAAAGCCTTTTGAAAGAAGATTCAAAGTTTAAAGAAGAAGAAGAAATTGACGAAGAATTAATTAAATTTCATTTTAAACCACCACTAAGGGACTAATAAACACGTAAGTATATCTATATTACTGTATATGTATGATCTATTAAAGCCCGAAGATGATCAACTTTGCGAGTTTGAAAAATCTTCTCCTTACATTTGAAAAGAACACGATAATTTATTAAATGAAATTGATGAACAATTAATAAAAATATAGTTTGAATGATAAATTGGTTGAAAAGGTTTGTTTTATGATTATAAGCCGTTCTTAATTACATTAAAAAGAAAGGTTTTGTAAAAATATTCACAAAAAAATAATACAATTTAAAATAAAGTAAAAGAAAATTATACTCGACTCGTTAAATTGGTTCAAACCGTAACATAAATAAGTATTTAATTATTTATTTATAAAAGAAAGTAGGAAAATAATTTCATATTTGTGTATCATCTGAATTTTTAGAGGAAGTAACCAGCTTTATAGCTCTTTCTTCCATTTATTGTTTCAATATACTTTGGATCTCGATATAATCCTTAAAATTCTAAAATAATTTCTGATTTTACGATATTAAATTGTATCGATTTATTAATGCTTACTGTTATAGTAATAAGGTATTCTATCATAAGTATATCTTCTTACAGAAAACTTCTTTTTATAAACCGTTCCCATCTGCATGGAGATAATTATAAAGGAACTATATATAACATAATAATAAATTCATAAATCTAATTATTGTTATTGTCAATAACGAATTAAATACATTATTATGTAACATTCTTGCCATTAGTATCATGTGCAGACAAAATTTTCTTCTTGAACTATTTTAATTGTGTAAGTTATCTGTTTTACTTCACCTTACCGGAACGGGCGGTGCTGATGAATAGTTTGAGCTAAATAATCAAAATCCATTGAATTATAAAAATTATCAAGCTGATCACGCGCTGCTTCGATGTTTTAAATTTTAATGCAAGACCAATGAATTATTAAATTAATTATGAATGCGATTAGAAAGTTATTTTGATTAGGATTGTTATTCGGTTTCTTCCGATGGAATCATGTTCACCTTAAATTTTCTTCTATAACATTATAATATTGCTTTAAAGCCTTACTAACAATCTACTGTAGAAATTAAATTAATAAAGATTATGTATGTATGATGTAGTAAAAATTTCCTTATCAAAGATATCCTCATTATATAAGGAAACCATTTGGCCAGTTTTGTGGTTTAAGAAAATCATAGTTTATTAAAGATGTGAAAAGAAAGATCTATTACAGAAGAATAATGACTGTCTGTAACACTCACAGCTTTGCACTGTTTACAGTAAAATTAATGTAAGAATAATAGAATAACTGTACTATACAATTGAACTTACCTAACTGTCATTCTAGAATCTTAAAGATCATAGTTTCTAACCATTAAGAATATGTATATCATTTGAATTTTTAATATGGAAATCAAAATCACTTATAAAACAAAAAACAAATTTCATTATTAACGAATTGTTTAGAACGATAATTCACTCACCCATGACATATTTCTAAAGAGAATTGTTTGGTAACGGAACCTTTTCTGTATAATTTAAAAAAATCTTCATCGGAAATTATTTCTTCAGGAAGTCATTGACTTTATTTAAAGATTTCAGATGTAGCATTTCCATATTGCAATAAAATAGGAAAGGAATTATGCGTTCTAATTACCAAGAAAGTAATTGCGACTGAGCTACTTTCTGGTCAATGAAATAATAAAAAAAAGTAGGTTACTAACTGTAAAGTTGTCCCTTAGATATTTGAATTATTAAACTCCAGACGAATTTGTGCGAAACCGTTTAGAGTAAAATTAAGAATAAATCTGTGATTAAAAGTTTGGGAATTTGATGCGTAATTTTTCCAAATCTCCTTGAAGAACCTCATTAGCAGCTTGATTTTAAATTTTGTCTTTTTATTGTAATTCTTACGCTACTTCCTTTACATTAAAAAAACTAATAAATTTAGAAAAGGTACTACCAACAACAATAAAGCATAATGTAAAGGTACTTACAATAACACGAGATCTATGTTCATTATACAATGATGATT